ATAGATCAAAACAGCAGTGTTTTTATTGTCAACGTTTCGATGAAGCCCAGTCCATCTTTCTCAGGATTAGTATCTGAGTATATATAAAAGGGGGTGCAGTGCTATACAATCTAACCAACAGTGATGAAGCTCAGAATCACAATCAGAAAAATAAACAGTGACTGTGTGCTAATAACCAAAGCCACTGAATGGTGGCTATAAAGTGAAGGAAGTGCAAATAAATGAAAGAGTCCAATGAAGGGGTGCTGTTAAGATCCAAGATGATCCTCAGACGTCCAATATTTGGAACCATAAAGGTAAAGATTGCGCACTCACCAGATACGCAATCTCCATGCACATTTGTGTATAATATCACTGGACCTCCGGTGTCACCCAACTGGTCTGGTCAGATCTGGTCAGCATGACTTTCACTGCCTGGTACTTGGATAGATGCGGCTGCCCTGTAGATCTGGCTGGTTCTCACCAGAACTCAAATAAACAGAAAGGGCCACATAGTGTGATATCCTTAAAGTATTTATTAAGTATACAGGCACAGGATAGCAGAGAAAATCAATAGATGAAAAATTACTGACCCAGGTGAAAAACAAAGATGGCGTCCGACCTGCTGTAGCTTTCCGCCGTCTTAAGTATCATTGATGGCTACTTCCAAATTCTGGAAGGAAGGTGGACGATCACTGATTTTTATTAATACAACTAGGGAAATGTGGAAAACCAGAAGGCAGCCCATCAAGAACAGATATTTTTGGGTAGAGTAAGGAAGGGTTGGATGTCCTGACAGGTTTTATTTCTGTCTGCATCCACACTAAGGTTATTTGCCCTCTATATTTGTCCTGGTGACCATTGTCACTGTCACTGAAAGTGATGGGAAATCCAAACCTCTGAACGGTCCCCTGAACAGGTCTCACAAAGAGGCACACTGAGAGCAAGAAAGAATTTGTTACATTTTGACTTACCTCTAAATTCCATATCTTGGAGTACAGTACAATACACAGGTTTGATATTCATAGACCGTACACTGTAGGCTGGAGCCTTCAGGTGACTGGACACTGAGAATGAGACTCAAAAACCCCTCTATCCCTCAAGACTTGAGCATCAACAGCCATGCTGTTAAAGACAGTGACTGAAAAACCAGGATGGAACAGGGGGCCTAGAGACAACAGGTCTGACCTGTTTGGGAAGGGCCAGGGGTTAATCTCCAAGTAGGCTGAATATGTCTGTTTACCAGGTTCTTCTTCTGTGGAATAAATTTTTGCGGATTCAGAAGAAAGGTGTCAGTGCATCACAGTTTGTTGTATAGCGGCTGCATAGCTGCAGACTGGTCAGGGTGCCCATAGATAGACCCATGTCCACAGCCAAAAGTGGAAGAAGGTGTCCTGGTCTGATGAATTGAGGAGTTTGAAGTTTGAATGCTTTGAGGAGATTCTCCAGATCTCAATCTCAATTGCGCAACTGTAGGATGTGCTGGAAAAGTGCCGCCCATGGATGCCCCACTTTGCAAGTTACAGGAATAGGTGCCAGATACCATAGCATACCTTCAGAGCTCTAGTGGAGTCCATGCCTCGACATTCCTGATTTTTAATTTTTTTGCAGATTTGTCACAATTAAATGATTCAGATCAAACAAATTTTCATATTACACAAAGAAAAGCCAAGTAAATAAAAAAAAAAGCAGATTTCATTTATAAAAGTGGTAGTAAACTCTCCTTTTATATTGCAATGCGATGCATACTAGCACATTATGACTTTACCTTGCAGCAGGAAACTTTTTTTTTTTCCTGAGTTTACGATCACTTTAAAGGGAAAAAAAAAGCAGTCCAAACCAGACTGGCCCTATGTGAAAAAGTAATTTGTTTTATGATTTGAATCATTTGCAGTGAAGTTGCACGATTTCAAAGTTGGGGGACATGCCGATTTCAGGTGCGATTTGTAAGACATCTGACACAGATGTCTATGCAAATCGCACCAAAAGTAGTATACGTACTACTTTAGAAATCGGTGTGGCGCCGACCAAGTCGGAATCGCACTGATTCGACTGCTGTAATTGTGTACGATAGGGTGCAACTTGGCATATGATTTGCAAGTCGCATGGCATGCAAATCACATGCCAAGTCGTACCCGATGTGACCAGGTGTGTGACAAATATGCAAAAAATCAGGAAGGAGCAAGTACTTTTTCATAGCACTGTTTTTTTTTTTTAGATAAACAAATAAGTCATATAGATCTACTTATGTTAATAGATGCTGCTGAATTTGGTCTGGGCATGTAGGTTTCAATGATCTCTTATCACAAAAGGGTTAGAACTTTCTTTAGAGAGCTTTCTCTAGAAGCAGCTGAGAAACGTTGCTTCAGCAGTACAGAAGGATGTAAACAGAGACCAGGGTGCTGCAGGCCATACTGGGGGGTAGGTAATTGATCTGCGCTGAATGGACAGTTATTCCTATTATTTGCTTTTGAAAAACTCCAGAAAATCCTAGGCCATGAATATAGACAACACCTTACTTTTTTCAGTGATAAAAAAACGAGCTCTATCATTTTTTAAAAAATGTTTAGTAAATCATGTGATTAAAAAAAACATTTTAAGTCAAAACTGATAAACTGCATTAGAGATAAATATTCAGTTTTATTACCTCTGGAATACTTAATGGTTAAAAATGTACCCAGTATTTTGTGCATCCAGTTTTCAGAGAATAACACACAAATGTTAGGCATTACGATTTGCTGTCATTTACAGAATCATTGCATTTTCCACATTTTTGTCCACTGACAATGTAAAACAATATAGCTGTTCCTGAGGCCAGAGTTAGGTGCCAGTTCTAGTAACATATAACAAGGAGACTAGAGAACAACGAAAACGATGCAGGTATCCACAACCAACATCAGACAAGAAATGGCTTTGATGTTACTTAGGTTAGGCTCCTGCAACTGAAAACAGGATTTTGTTAAAGTTTGACTTGGCTTTAAAACATCACCAATGGCGTGGCTTAGCAGATCTTCATACAGATAATCAGAAACAGCTGCTCTGGACTATATCTGGAATAAGCAACCCACACAGAGAATTCCCTTATCATGACATAAAATATGGAGATGTAAGATAGTGTCAGATAGTGATTACAATACCTACTTCCACCACTGAAAGAAATACATTGCAGGGATTTTTCTTCACGTGGGGGCTTACAGGAGCATATGCATGCAAGCTGACAGGGCAAGGTGCCCATATGGAAAACATGGACTAGTCATTCATTTCAAGTATGTCCCAAAGGAGGCCATGGTGTCACTTTACTATACATCACACATTATAACTGTAGAAAGGACTAGGCTATTCTGCTATGTAATCAACCTAACCAGACAGGCACTAACTGCAAACACAACGTGGGCAATTACAAAAGATCACGTTCAGGCTGAAAGAAAAAAAAAAAAAAAAAAAAAATGGTTTTCGGGGTGCGCTTTCACCAGTAACCAGCTGCAGATAATTTTCTGCATGGACACTGTTTTACATTAATATATGAGCATATGAAGTGGGATTTATAAAAAAAAAAATTCCATTTGGAATCTTAAAACTAGCATCATGCTGGAAATAAATGCATCGATTTCTAAGTATTCATTTAAAAACATTTTATCTTTAAAAAAGATAATTAGCTTGATTTAGTAACAAACATTGCTCTGCTTCTGTCAACTTTCTTAATGGCCCTGATTTTAAGAGATGTGTACACTTGTACACCACATGCTGATCACATGGTCATTTTTTGAGCACCGATGAGCAAGTTGAATAACTTGAATTTTCTAACTCCAGGCTCCCCCGCCACCACCACTAACTCTAGGCTCCCCCTCCACCACTCAGCTCTACCCCAGCATGTATTATACTTAATGTTTTTTCTACATACCTTTTCCAGAAGTCTTTGGTGCACTCTATAGGTGATGCCCTGGACTCACAGTATACCCCTAGTCTTTTAAATTGAGGAAAACAGGGTATTGCTCGATCCAGAATGCTAAGGACATCGTGTGGTCGAAATGTACTTCAGGGGACAATGCCAAAGAAGACAGTAATGCAGCCAGAGTTTGTGTTTTTTTTTTTCTCATTGGGGACATACAAAACAGCCCAGAGTTGTGCTTTAAAGCTGAAGCTAAACTGATTAGCTCCTTGTGCTGCTTCTTTCTCTGCCATTTTAAACTCTGCTTTGCAGGGGATTTGAAAAGGCAGATACCAAGTCAAGCTGAAGTTCAGCAATTCTTTGTTTGGTGGGTATATATACTAAAAACACATCAGTTGCCTGTAATGGTGTGCATCCCATGTCCTGCTTCATGTAAGTCCTTCCTTCATGCTGCGCGATACCTCCCAGAGCATTATGAAGAATGTGCGCTATTCACCTACCCCTTCCTGCCCCCTCTGCCATTCACAGAACTTGTACTGTTATTGTGCTTCATTGCAACTTGTTCTGTACAGTGGCAGGGGAGATCCGGTCAATCATCCATTCTTTCTCCATTCACAAAACATGTATTTGCAACATGAAGTTACCATGACTCTCCAGAACTGAAATTACCTTTATTTTAATAAACAAGAGGCAAACAGACACTGCAAATTCGCATATAAAATAGAGGTTGTAACAGCACACTGAGCAAAAAAAAAAAAACTGAGGAAAAAAAAAATCCCTCAAACTGCTGCTATATACATTAAAGACACAACTCAGTTGCTGAACTTTCACACTGTTGGGATCTGTGTGCAAGTACAAAGACCTGCGATATAAGCCATACTGTGGCAGAGTCACCATAAGCTGAATGAGAGAAAATATTTTAATCACCTGATTGTAATTCAAAGGTTTAATACTTGGCCGCATCCTAAAAGACAAGGAGTCCGTCTGCCTGTGACCCCTGGGAAAGGTAACACTTTAATGTATAAATTAACTGATCAGGAGAATCTTCCAGGCTCAAAGGCAATAAGCACTAAGTAGAGTAGTCTGTGGTGAGGTTCCACTGTAAACATCCTCATGTCTGATGACGCCACCATTACTGTTTGCCAGGAGTAACATCTGTGTAATCTTTCAGTACTCCTGCCAAATGGTCATTGTGAGTCTTAAACCTGCGTTTCTTCTGTGAGGTTGACTTCTTCCTCTTTTGCACTGGGATCTGAAAAATTTATATAAAGTGATTATTAATGGTGTACTCAAGCTTTAATTTATATCAAAACTACTTATAGCACATATATTTTTAGGAAACTGTTTACACACTGATGACTAACATAAAAGATTACTAATTAAATCTTACTATATTGGGTAATCACCATTCTTTCCAAAGAACAATACCCCAATTAATCACCACTCTTCAAAAAAAAAAAAAAAAAAAAGGAAGAAGAAGTCGTCACCAGTATTCACCACTCTTTCACAGAAGCATGCCCCCCATTGATCAGACTTCTGCCCCCACCAATCAATCACCACTCTTTTCACAGAACCATGCCCCACTAATCAACCCTCTTTCTACAGATCCATGTCCCCATTTACCACTTTTCACAGAACCATGCCCTCATTATCAGCACTTTCTTCATAGAACCATGACCCCCATTAATTACCACTTTTTCCACAGAGCCATGCCCTCATTGATATCCCCTCTTTTCAGAGAACCACATTCTCAGTAATTGTCACTCTTTCCATAGACCCCTGCTCCAATTAGTCGCCACTCTTTCCACAGAGCCATGCCCTCAATAATTGTCCCTCTTTCCACAGAACCACACCCTCAATAATTGTCACTCTTTCCATAGAACTACGCCCTCATTTTATTGTCACTCTTTTCATTGAACCATGCCCTAAATAACTGTCATCTTTCATAGAACAACACCCTCATTAATTGCCACTCTTTCCATAGACCCCTGCCCCAATAAGTCGCCACTCTTTCCACAGAGCCATGCTCCATTACTCACCACTCTTTCCAGAGAACAATGTACCCAATAATTGCCACTCTTTCCAGAGAACCATGCCCACATTAATCACCACTCTTTTGCCAGATTAATGAGCCTATTATCAGAAAGCTCATTGCCTTTTGTCACATTCTGAACCACTTCATGGTGACTGTATTAAGTAGTTGGGGTCCACAGCCTCCTATGACCCTCAACTCTAGTTCCACACCAGTGGCTTCTAAATCCAGGTGTATATTGGTCAGCCCAGATTAGACTAAAAGTGTTCTTAACAGGCCCCCCAACTATCAAGCACCATACTATACCTAGTTGAATGAAGAATGTGAAAATGGAAGATGGGGAACACGGTGAAAGAATAGCACATCTTGAAAACTAGAACAATGATCACGTTATTGAATAAAACATTTCCAACATGTTTTGGTAAATTGACCCCCTCTCCCCCCCCGCCCATTCTTAAGGACTTTGGTAGTGTTCGATCTGTTGGTCGTGGGCACCGCAGTCCATGTCCTGACATGATCATATTTTTCTGAATGCCTGCTGTGGCAGATTTGAGTAGCCTTGCCACTGTAGGTACCACAAGCAGCTGCGATCTCTAAAAGATGTTCACTATTCCAAAGACATGCTGGTAGGTTAATTGGATCCTGTCTAAATTGGCCCTAATATGTGTATGTATGAATGTGAATTAGGGACCTTAGATGGTACACCCCTTGAGGGTTAGGGACTGATGTGAATGTACAATATATGTATGTAAAGCGCTGCGTAAATGGATGGCACTATATAAGTACCTGAAATAAATAAATAATTATGTACAACGTGAACGAAGTGACCTGTGAAGTTATATCTGCTATGAAGTGTCAACATTTTGCAGCTGCGAAAACAATGGCTCTCTATGACACATGTGGCTTTGCACTAATAAAATTTTAAGTTTTTTTAATCTGCTTGAGTAGGTTCCTCTTTCTTACTGCTGCCACAGGCCTATTCACCATCCACAAGGTCTAGAACTACTTGACACACTACAAAGCTCACATTTGTCCAATGAAGTGACATTATCTGCAGAAAGAAGATGAGGCCAGGAAGTACTCCACAGCAAATGCACCATTTTTAATACATTTTGGCACTCATATTTAACTTTACTTTTTGGAGAAAAAAAACTACAGAACACTGCTAAAATACATACGACTTTCTTTGGTCCAGTTTCTTGCATAGAGGAAATGCCCTGTCTCTTCAGGTAATCCTCAATTTTTTCATCATCCATGGAGTCTACTGGTACACTCCTCCATAGTTTCTGAAATTCTGAAACATAAAAACATCATGTCATGCCTGGGGTACATAAGCAAATACATTCCATTACAGAGGATACACATGAGTACAATATTTATAACTGATGTAGTGATAAGGTAAACCATGAAAACCACACCCATAACATAGCCAAGATAGAGGAGCTGTTATCATTGGATTATCGCTATACATGAGTTGGTGTGCTTCATGAGCATGATTGCCTAGACTTTGACAGCATCTTTGAAAGTGTCGCTTGCAGAATTAACTGTATACACGCCACTACTCCAGATATAAACATTCTGTGCATACTTTTTTGGTTGCGGTATACAGGAGGTAAAAGGAAAAAAAAAAAAAAAAAAAAAATCTCACTCTTGCAACTAACCACCTGTACTAATAAAAACATCTCTAAACAAAACAAAGATCATCATTTAGTTTGGTGAATCGGTGAATGGTTTCTGACAGTACAACTTGAGGATGTGCAGCTACAGATAATAAAACTGTGACGTCTTTTTTTCTCCTTTTAAAAAGAATTTCCAGGAAAAATGCAATCCCTTCTATGCCTATGACCAATCACTTGCCAACAGTGGCGGGATCCTCTGTGGCATCATAATACCAGATTTCACCAAAAGACAGCAGAAGGTAGGTTCTGGTTTGCATCGCATTCAAATGATGTGAGATCCCTGCAATAATATAATCAAGAGTTTCGAAAAGAACAAGATTTTCTGTTTTCTTTTAATAATTATTTGATCATCTTTGATTTAATACTTCTATGCAATAAAGTGCCATCTCGCTTTAAAAACAACACTACCTCTGGAATAATGCACCTTGGCAAGTGAAAAGTAGAAATATTAGTACAGACAGCATATGCTAGTAATAAAAGCCAATGAGTCCATGTAGTGACCTCGGTTAGATATGATGACAATCTGATATTTGACATAATTCACATTATAGTAGGTCAAGCAGGTGCTATTGTGTTCTTGTGCATTTATGAATGGTGTGTAGTCCTTGTTGACAGCGTTAATGTGTATCTATAGCCCAAGTATTAGGGGAAAGTGAATGGTGCCTGCCACATTTGGTATTCCTGCTATTCCAGTCCTTGGCTGAGAGATGAGTCGAACAACTGGAAACTGAAGGCTTCTGTAAATATAATGGTGGCAAACCTTACCAAAGAAGCCTAATATAATACAGACAAGCAGAGGTAACAAAAAATCCGCCAACTTCCTAGAACATGTGCAATTTAGGGATACACAGTGAGACAGCTATATGAAGAAAGTGAAAACAGCACAGGACAACTGGTTTCGGGATGGGTAAAAATTACAGACTTAAATTCGCTATATTTAAAACACTCCTTGAACTTTAGATACTGTATTTCAACATTGGGCCTAAGGACCAAATATCTGAAGCAAAGAATGTTCCAATACCTGGCAGCAATCAATCAGATTCTCCAAAACTGAAATAAATAGAAAAAACTGATTTATTTCTGTAGTCAGTGTGAACCATGTGTGGACCATTCTTAGTGGAGAACCTGATATGAACATCAGGCGCCAGCTCCAGCTGAATGAGCTATGTCTGGTGGGTTCCACTGTTGGTGCTGGCCGGGTACACAGTTCATCCAAACTCTGTATGAAATCTAAGGCAAAGGATGTATACCGGGAGCCGCACATCAATCATTCCCAATACATCAGAGCGGTAAATGGTCACCTCCATGAATAAGCCCCATAGGCAGGGCAAAAGACACACTGGGGATGTGGCTAGGACCTAGGACAGACACAGACTGAGGCTGCTACTACCATTGCAATTACCACTCTGATGTATTGGGGTTGTTTGGTGTGCGGCTCCTGGGCTACATCCTTTGCCACTTAGTTGAGATATACTTAATCTTGAAGCCTGTTACCCAGGTAAGAAACCAAAAAAATATCAACTGTTTTTCACTATGCAAGGAAAACTTAACACCTGGGAATAATTCATGCATCTCATGCTGCGGTGGGTATTTAACATAATAAGGCAACAGAGCAAAATTCTTTAGGACTGCAGTGTGCCTCAGCTGATGACAATCACATTTACGGAGCTCAACTTGTAATCTGAAAGGGTACATTCACACCACTGTGCTGCGGTAATACGTTATGTGCATTGTTGCACTGGCATACCATTTACTGTGAAGCCATTGCACTAGCAAAAATGCAGCACGGTCAGTTTTGGTCCGTTGTGTCGCATTTGGCAGCGCATTTAAGTGAAGGAGCGGTTTTAACGCACATCAAAATGGACTGTCCAGCCCAAAAGCAATCAAAAGAAATGTTATAAAATATTTAACTTTTCAATTATGAGAAGGTATATTCATTACACTTTGCAGCTTGCTTGCATAGCATGCTGTGATTTTTAGGAAGCTTACACAGCATTGCCTGCATACTTTGGGGCCTATTTATAAAAAAATGATGTGTGAATGCCAGTCATATTTTTAATGTAAGTAAAATGTCCGTCTCTATTTGTTGCCTTTCACAGGCTGAATGTGACATTCCATAACATTGGACCCTAAGAGAAAAATGCCTTAAAAGAAGTATGGGGTTTCTTTTTTTTTTTTTGCCTAGTTATACATACCTAGATGGATGCAGCATGGGTGCGAAGCTGCATCTGCCCTCCACTGGCTCTAAGGGTGAGAACTTGGCGATCACATGACCGCTGATCACTGAGTTCTCACAGCCGCTCTGATTGTCAGTCACCGCTGCCTGCTCTGCTCTCCCCCCCTTCAGTGCTCACTGGAGCATTGTGCAGTGGAGGGAGCGGGAACGGTTGGCACAGGCTCTTGGCAGATCGCTGAGAGGCTGAACCAGATGCTGCTTTAGACTCTGAGGTGGATTCTGACTTTAAAAAGTCAGGTTCTTTCCTCAGCCTGGACTGGCTGAGTGACTTCAGCCCCTTGTCAGCTGAAGACGGGTCACAGGAGTGCTGAATGAACTGCACTCCCGGGATCCACAGGAGAAGTACAGCCAAAACAGCTTTGGCTATACTTCTCCTTTAAGAACATTCAACCAGAAGAGTTAAAGAACATTCAACCAAAAGGGAGCATAGCCTAATACTCTTCAACCAGAGGAGAAAATAATATGTGAAAGACCTTGGTGTGAATGGTATACAAAGTGTATGGAGATTCCTGTGCTCACTGTCTACAGTGTAATGAATCATCAATTGCAGAGACTGAACTGATACAATGTTGCAGAGACTGAACAGGCATGTACAAAAAGACTAACAAAGTGATTCTAAATGTACTTTTATTAAAATAACAAACATGTCATACTTACCTGCTCTGTACAATGGTTTTGCACAGAGAAGCCCCGTTCCTCCGCTATTTGGGTCCCCCGCCAGCACTCCTGGCTCCTTCCCCCACCGAATGCCCCCATAGCAAGTTGCTCATGCATGCTTGCTCCCAATGGCTAATGGCTCCTGCTATGGTCTCTGAGCCAATGAGGAGGAGAGAGAGCCCCTGCTCTCGTGCACATCATTGGATCAAGATTGGGTGCATCTAAGTATTAGAGCCATGGAGGGGCTGGGGGAGAGCAGCATACATAAGGTTTTTTTTTTTTTTTTTTTTTTTACAAGCATAGAATGCATTAAGAAATAAAACTTCTGCCTTTAGAACCACTTTAATGTATGAATGCTCCAATGGTACTGGCAGACTGCCCACTGCTTGGTTTTTCAAACTATAATGAGCCAAAGCCACCCCTGATCTGTACACTTGACATTTTAACTGTCTGCCTCTTGCTAAAGCGGATCAGCAGAGAAGTACTGCTGGGGCTGCACTGCATTTAGGCCTGGCCTTTTACCATCTATTAAAAAAGTACTACTTATTTAAAGTACATACTTTAAAGCGTAGACTTAAAATTGTCATCACCTGATGCAGACAACCTCTGCACAATCAGATGACAATCTTTACATACTGCACATTGTTAGCAGCAATACCGCAGACTGACCACAGGGAAGCAGCAAAAACTGTTTATCTAGGATCAAGTAGGCACCAGAAGTATCTGACACCACTTTTCTCTCCTCCATATTAATTAACAAGAATGCCCAGAGGGTTCAAGTGTGTGTCTATGTGTTAATAGTAAGATCATTATAGAAAGAAATTAAGGGATAAAAAAAGTCTGGCAGCCAGATCACATAGATATTGCAGACTAATCTTAAGTATCTACTGTCAGATTATAATCAAACTTGTTATACCTTATAACATGCTAAGAAGAGGTCACCACTGTTTACAACGACTGAAAATCCTAATACAGCAGTCAGATGAGAAAGAAAAAACAATGTATCTGCTGCCACCAAGTGGAAAGAAAGGATTATCACAACATAGTAGCATAGTAGGCCCCTGAGTCACATTCACATAATCTAGGTCATCTGGATCATTTATTATTATGTACATGTATATAGCACCAACAAATTATGCAGCTCTTTACATACATCAGATCAGTCCCTGCCCTCAAGGAGTTTACAATACAAGGTTTCTATTTCACATGCATACAAACATATACCAGTGAAGCAATTTAACCTACCACCAGGTCTTTGAAGTGTTGGAGGAAAACAGGGTACCCAGAGGAAACTCACCCAAATGCAGGGAGAACATGCAATCTTCATGCAGATAGCATCCTGGCCAAGAATCGGGCCAAGGTAGACGTTCTAACATTTTTTAATATACTAAAAATTACAATTGTATTACAGTGTTGTCATGTGTAAAGTCAGTGTTTTCCAACCTTTTCTCAGTAAAGGCACCCTTTAGAATTGCACACAATTCCAGGACACACCATTCTGATGGCTTGTGCACTAAAGGAGGTGCGTCCGAGTGCTTTTTTTGCTTGTTCCCACATGTTGCATTTATAATTTGGCTGCTCTATGCTCGTGAAACATGCAAAAAAGGTGCAGAAATGATATTTAAATTGAGCCCCAGCAAAATGCACGGTACTACGGTACCATGTGTTTTACTGGGCGCAAACAAGCATGCAATTGGTGGATGCATGGGGATGGCATTAAGAATTAATGGAACCTGTGTACAACTGCAAAAGGCAACAAATTTTTGTGTGGTGTGAAAAATCCCTAAAATGCCATTTGTAAGGCAGAGGTAAACAATCAGTAGGTTGTAAATCCCCCCCCCCCCCCTTCCATTCCCTCAGCTAGCCCAAATCTCCCTCCTAGTACAAATCCCCCCCTCCTAGCACCCCCCCCTCCGCTAGCCACAATACCCCCCCATATTTAGGGTGGAACATGTAACATGTTCCAGCTCTTGCTCCCCCCATCCCTGTGACAGCAGGCAGGGGATACTCTCCCCACACACCCGCTGGCAGAATTGAAAAAACAGCGCAGCCACGCAGGGCTCCACTCACAGGTCTGCGTCATTCTGTGAGTGGATGAACTACACGTACTGTCGGCCGCCACAGCTGATGGCTTGTCGTTCTCAATGAACTATGAGGGTGCTGATGAGCGCTCTCATAGTTCATTGATCCTTTCGGCAATTCAGAAACTGTCTGCACGTACCTCCTGTACTGACTGACTGTCTGTAGGAGCCTGGCATTGTACCAGCGATCAGCTGAGAAGCAAAATAAAAAACAATAAATGTGTGGGGGTTTTGTTTTTTTAATAAAAGGTAAACTTGGCCTTAAAAATTTTGTTACAACTGAACATCTGCCTATACAGTACAAACAGGGTTAATTATGGCTAACGCAGTTGCCCAGCCCCCCAGTAAACAAAGACAAACTAGTAGGCATTTTCCTTGTTTGATGGTCCATAATACAGCATCTTAAAATGGAAGTAAAGTTCACTTTGCAAGTTGTACCTACAGGTAAGCCTATAACCTGTAGGTACAGTGAATATCTCCTAAACTTGCACTCCGTTTAGGAGATATTCACACAGCGTGCAGTCGATGATGTCACCAAAGCATGTGCTCTGAAAGGATAGCACACTGTGCAGGACCTTCAGAGCTCCGTGCCGCAGCCGAGCGCTCCCGTGCGAATGTGAGTAAGTGATGTCATCGCAGCTCTGGCCATTCATCTGGCCGGAGCCCGTGAACCCAGAAGGAAAACCAGGTGAAGATGGCAGTGCTGGAGAGACATGACAGCAGGGTGCCGGAGGGATCTGTGTACAGGCAAGTCTGTCATAATGTACTAATATGCAGTGCATACAAGTACATTAGGACCTAAACCTGCAAAGGGGCCCATTATTATTTTATTTTTTTTTCTCGGGTGGATTACTAATATAAACAAATATAAAGTATATGTTATACCAATTTGGCTTCTAAAGTGGAAATACACTTTAGGACTATAAGCCTAAACAATAGTCTGTCTGAGACACTGAGAAATGGTGAAACAAAAAGCTGAGGTGCCATTATGGGTTCTATCCAAAATTACAAGAAGAATCAGTGGTTCTGAAAGAATCAGTGGCTGAAACATAGACTTTTGATGAACCTGAGCAGAAAAAGGGTCAGGAGACCAATGTACTGATTAAGGTGAAAAGTACCTTAGACAAGAAGGAAGTCCTTGGCTGCAACACCACCTTGACCCTATGCAAGACAGCATCACCAGTTGAGGCACTCACCTTTCAAAGCTGTTAACTACAAGAAAGCAATGTGATTGCTAAGAAAAGAGAGCATATTGCTAATAGGTTCAAATGGAGGCTTCTAAATTGCTGAGAGAACCAGATTTACCGTATTTGCTGGCGTATAAGACGACTGGGCGTATAAAACGACCCCCCTACTTTTCCTGCTAAAATTTAGTGTTTGAGCTATACTCGCCGTATAAGACTACCCCTCTTCCAATGCACACCAGTGGCAGGAATAGTGCCCCATCATTGGTATCAGTGGGAGGAATAGTGCCCCATCATTGGTGTCAGTGGGAGGAATAGTGCCCCATCATTGGTATCAGTGGGAGGAATAGTGTCCCATCATTGGTATCAGTGGGAGGAATAGTGCCCCATCATTGGTGTCAGTGGGAGGAATAGTGCCCCATCATTGGTGTCAGTGGAAGGAATAATGCCCCATCATTGGTATTAGTGGGAGGAATAGTGCCCCATCATTGGTATCAGTGGGGGGAATAGTGTCCCAACATTGGTGTCAGTGGGAGGAATGGTGTCCCATCATTGGTGTCAGTGGGGGGTGGAATAGTGCCCCAACATTGGTGTCAGTGGGAGGAATGGTGTCCCATCATTGGTGTCAGTGGGGGGGAGGAATAGTGCCCCATCGTTGGTGTCAGTGGGGGGAGGAATAGTGCCCCATCGTTGGTGTCAGTGGGGGGGAGGAATAGTGCCCCATCGTTGGTGTCAGTGGGGGGGAGGAATAGTGCCCCATCGTTGGTGTCAGTGGGGGGGGGAGGAATAGTGCCCCATCGTTGGTGTCAGTGGGGGGGAGGAATAGTGCCCCATCGTTGGTGTCAGTGGGGGGGAGGAATAGTGCCCCATCGTTGGTGTCAGTGGGGGGGAGGAATAGTGCCCCATCGTTGGTGTCAGTGGGGGGGAGGAATAGTGCCCCATCGTTGGTGTCAGTGGGGGGGAGGAATAGTGCCCCATCGTTGGTGTCAGTGGGGGGGAGGAATAGTGCCCCATCATTGGTATCAGTGGGAGGAATAGTGCTCCATCATTGGTATCAGTGACACCAATGATGGGGCACTATTCCTCCCACTGACACTTGCTGACCCTGTTCTCATATGGTGCTGCTGCAGCCAGCATATGTGGTTGCAGCAGCACCTCTAAACTGACCACTTACCTGCTGGTCCTGCACTCGATTTTCGCGGGGCCGCTCGGCTCCACCCCCTCGCCGGTGATTCGCCGCCTGTGTGCCTTTCCTGAGCTACAGTTCTGGCGGCCAATCACTGGTGAGGAGGCGGAGCCGAGCAGCCGCACGAACATCCAGTGGCCGAACTGAAGGCGCAGCCGCGCTTCCTGGACCGGATCGTCGTGGGACCGGAACCAGGTAAGAAAACAGCCGCTGCACACCCCTGTACTTAGTGTCCCTTCCATTGGGGGAAGGAGGGGGGGCGGCGGCGGCAACGCGCCGCCCCCCTAAAAAGTGTCAGTATGCCGTATACCGGCGTATAAGACGACCCCCGACTTTTGAGAAGATTTTCAAGGGGTAAAAAGTCGTCTTATACGCCGGCAAAATACGGGTAGATTCCACGGAGCAACAGGTGAACAGACTGGGGAGCCACGTAGGAAACTTCCCTGTACAAAGATCTTAATCAGAGTGTGAAGTCAACAGCTTCTAAAGCAGAATGGAAAATACAGAGACTTTAGATGGTGCTAGGAGAGACCATGTGAAGACCAGTGCCTGAAGAACACTTCCAGGCTTATTCCACTATCATCCACCCCAGCAAGGTAGTCCAAAAAGCAACACCAAAGACGATGGCATCAGATAGTTGTGAACTGGTGGATAAAACCAGCAGCAACAGCAGTCGATGTAGACTGATCTTGACTGAGCCATCCATCATCCTAGAACACTAGCATGATGGTGATGGTAGTGGAAGTGGTTATAGCCTGTTGAAGTGACCTGTAAGCAGAAGTATACCCTAAAGGTTTAAGATTTCCTGCGTCCCTCAATGGATGAGAAAACTCCACATTTCCAGTAATCTTCATTTATCATTTCTAGCTGATGTTGACCCAAACACTTCAATGCTCTACTGAATCCAACAAGTATGCAGTCAAGAAAATACCTTTGTTTGCTACAAGTTAGATTTATTTTGTCATTTTCAATTGTATTGAAACTTGTGTTACCTTCATCTACAGTAAATTGGCAGCTTTTGTCGTTGTAAAAAAGGATTTTCTTCTTGTCCGGTCTCGTAACAAATGTAATCTGGTCGCCCAGTGCCTTGTGTGAAATAAAGCATACATGAATCATAAATGAAATGTAAAATGATCAAGGTCAGTATTCCTGCATTAATCCAGGTTTAAACCTATGCACATGTCTGCTCTGTTGATTTGTCAATACAATTGGTGCTGGTCTATGAAACCTGGAGGGAAAATCATATTGCCCATACCAACCATTTACCATAAACCTGGCTTGTGTATGAATGCTTTTACAAATATCAACTCAAGATGTAAAAAACAAAACAAAAAAAAAACAGTTTTTTAAAACACCAATGTCAGTAACCAAAGTGCAGAAACCCCTAGCAATCAAATTACACCATTCCTCACTTCAGAATAAGTTAAAGAAATGAAAAATGGATCCTTGCTGCTATGGATTACCATATTAAGCAAAACTTTAGTCATAAAAAACAGTGTCATGCACATTTCTGTTATTCGGTGAGCTACACCTGTTGAACATGCTTGGTATGGGCTAAATACTAACAACTGCAAACAGCTCAACATATATAAAAAAAAATGTGAGAATAATGAACGTTAAATTAGAAGTCAGGACAAGAAAATAGACATAAAGCTGAATTCCAGGCAAACCACTAAATACACAGTTGAAACACATAATTTGGAAGGTGTTGTTACCTGCTAAATGGTTTTTATTTTTCTGCCCATCCAGTCCCAACAGTTTTTTAGCCTGGTCAGGCAGCAAACTTAGGTTGGTGACATTACATTGGCATACTGCAGTTCATCAGCATAGTTGGGTCACCTACCTGCTACCATTATGTAACAGGCCAGTGAAAGAGCAGCAGCAAAAGGATTAGCTCATCCCATTCTGCTTTCTCCCGGTCAATATGTTCACTACTGCTAATTGTGCATTCAAGGACACCTGTTTGGATCCTAATGCAGTCCTTCTTTGTTTCCCTGGAGTTAAATAGAATACATGTTCTAGAAAACAATGCCTTTCACTGTTTATACATTTGATAGCAGTTAGTACTGTCCTGAGGCACAGTGTTTGGTTCTGTGTATTCATGAAACAACTCTTCAATTTGTTTAGCAGTGTAAATGGGTATGATCATCCTGCGGTATAATATTTTAAGAAGTGCCAGGACCATAGGGTGCACCCGATACTTTTAAAAAGCCTCACATTCCTTGACTTTAACATGATCATGTAGAATACCCATCAGACCAGACTTTTACATGATTGCTGCTCATTATAAAACTCCCCCTGCTGGCAACAGATAGAAAGTTGAAGGCATTTTTCGCTTTTTCTGAACATAAACCTATTGGGATGTAGGAAACGGTGCAAGATTTAGACCCGATTACTTTTTTCCATTGCTTAGTTGTCCAAATGATTCTGATACTTTAGAACACGTTATGCACCTTAGTGTGCTGACCCTGGATACAATCCCTATTGCAGCAACAGGCTGCCAAATTTCTATGAAGTGTATGTCTATCCCTGTAATTAAGTTTCGACTTGCAAGCATTATTATTTTTTGCAGTCTGTACATGGTTGCCATGCACTATAATTTTTGACACGGTTATCTTTAAAACCTCAGATTATTATGCAGCTTCTTTGACAATGCACCTGCTGTTCAAGCACTGACTAGCAGACTTCCTTAAAACTCTATTAGCGGTTTTATATTGCTACATATCAAAATACCAACTGTTATACAGTTGACATACAGTTGTGTTCAAAATAATAGCAGTCAGACATCACTAACCTGATCAATCACTGTTTTTGGTAGAAATGATATTTCTACATGGCAAATAATTTACTAGCAGGTGTAGTAGAGTAATAGAAATCCAACAGACCCAACAGTCATGACATGCATGCTGATGCTTGTGTAATTGAATCACTAATTGAAAGGGGCATGTTCAAAATAATAGCAGTGTGGAGTTCTATTAGTGAGGTCATTCATTCTTTGAAAAACAGGTGGCAATTATTGCACTTATTTAAGGAAGGAAGGCAGCAAATGTTGTACATGCTGGTTACAGTGCATTTCTCTCTGAAATTCTGAGGAAAATGGGTCGTTCCAGACATTGTTCAGAAGAACAGTGTACCTTGATTAAAAAGTTGATTGGAGAGGGGAAAAACATAAAGAAGTGCAGAAAAATGATAGGCTGCTCAGCTAAAATGATCGCAAATGCTTTAAAATGGCAACCAAAACCTGAAAGACGTGGAAGAAGGCAAAAAACTACCATTCGAATGGATAGAAGAATAGCCAAAATGGCAAGGACTCAGCCAACAATCAGCTCCAGGAAGATCAAAGAAGGTCTAAAGTTACCTGTGAGTACTGTTACAATTAGAAGACGCCTATGTGAAGCCAAGCTATCTGCAAGAAGCCCCCGCAAAGTCCCCCTGTTGAAAAAAAGACGTGCTGAAAAGGTTACAATTTGCCAAAGAGCACATTGACTGGCCTAAATAGAAATGGCGCCACATTTTGTGGACTGATGAAAGTAAGATTGTTCTTTTTGGGTCTAGTGGCCGGAGACAGTTTATCAGACGACCCCCAAACACTGAATTCAAGCCACAGTACACTGTGAAGACAGTGAAGCATGGTCGCGCAAGCATCATGATATGGGGATGTTTCTCATACTACGGTGTTGGGCCTATTTATCGCATACCAGGGATCATGGATCAGTTTGAATACATCAGAATATTTGACGAGGTCATGCTGCCTTATGCTGAAGAGGAAATGCCCTTGAAATGGGTGTTCCAAAAAGACAACGACCCCAAACACACCAGTAAACGTGCAACATCTTGGTTCCAGACCAACAAGATTGACGTTATGGAGTGGCCAGCCCAATCCCCGGATCTTAATCCAATAGAAAACGTGGGTGACATCAAAAATGCAGTTTCTGAGGCAAAACCAAGAAATAGAGAAGAACTGTGGAATGTAGTCCAATCCTCCTGGGCTGGAATACCTGTTCACAGGTGCCAGAAGTTGGTTGACTCCATGCAACACAGATGTACAGCAGTTCTCAGAAACAGTGCTTATACAACTAAATATTCATTAAGTGATTCAAAGGAAAGCAAAATCTTCAAATATTTTTCAGTTTATATAGTGAATGTTTGAGTTTGTAAAGAAGAATACAAACACTGCTATTTTTTTGAACAGTCTAATATTCACTTTTCTTCAATTTTTTTTTAGAGGAACGACACAAATGTGATATATTTTTCTTCATGTTTTGATTTGGAATAGAATGTGTAGTGTTCCCAATGCATTTGTGTGTATGGAAATAAAAGCTATTAGAAGGATTTGGAGCTTTATTCACTTTTTTCAACACACTGCTATTATTTTGAACACAACTATATAATAGTAACTAACAATGAAACCAAATATTCACTTCTCAACTGTTAAAGTCTTTTGTTTCCTAAACATTATTTATTTATTGATTTGCAATGTGTCAATGAACTTGCTAGCAAATTTGAATACTGCAGAGTCAAATTCTAAACAGTCCCTTCTGTCCTGGCATGTCATAGTCCTCTCCTCTTCTGTCTCTAACAGTCTGTGATAGCCAAGCAACTCCACCCCTTACCACACCTCTCTATATAACCTTTTATTTAACAGCCAGGGAAATTGTGAAGGGGAATACTATAGAGCATCACTTGAGTGAGCTTGGAGTCTGCTGGCATCACATCCAAGGCAGCGGCACCCAGCAGCAGCTTCAGGGCTTTTGGTGTCTACAAATGGGAGGCTTACAAGTAAATGACATAATGCCTACATACAGTAAATGTACATACAAATCTGATGGGAAGATTGTCGGTGAAATCAAAGGTCTGACGATAGGGTCTCTAAAAAGATACAGAAGGTGGATCCAGTATGTAATATGAGCTCTCAATTCAAATCCTCCAGAATCATGACTTCCTCCTATCCCTCTTTTCTTTACAAGAAATTCTAAGGACAGACTTTAATGGACCACTTGCTTCCCCATTAGCAAGTCTTGAAGAACAATTAAGGAGCAGATGAAAAGAAGCCTACAACTTCTTTTCTAATGCAAGATGTTGGGATATGTCACCCAGAGCTCCTCAAAAAGCACAGCTAGTAAACAAAAAGTTTCACTTTTGATAGACATGTCCCTTTCAAGTAAAGGAGAAAATAGAAATAAGCAAATACCTTAATTGCTTTTTGTGCATTGGGAAGTCCTTCTTCTATGTCTTCAAGTAAGATTCCTCCCAGTCCCCTCTGATCATGCTTGTCCAATAGTCTCAGAAGAGCTCTCTTGTCTTTTAAATTATACTTGGGCTTGAAAGCATATTTTCCTTCAACAACTTCAATCTTAGGGTTGTTTGCAAGAGCCTAAAACGAGCAAAGTAATAGATTTTAGCCAAGAATAACAGGACCCTAAAACGCATTAATATGCTACTGTGGTTTGTCATATAAAAGGTAAATAGACTTATTAGGGTAAGGGTATGTTCACCTTTTTTGAATAGAATTTCACTTTCCACAATAAATAGAAGCCTCTTCTAATGTCCTTTCTGCCCCAGCCATCCCAACATGCTTATCCCTTATTTACCTCATACAACTCTGAAATTTCACGTTTCTGTTAAAATTTAAAAAAAAAATGCTTTTTGCTTCCATTGCTTCCTGTAAATCATCTCCCATCATGCATCACATGCTTACCTGTCTGGATCACAGCTCCCTCATTACTATACCACCTCTTGCTTTGTTTCCACTCAGTTTCCCAATTCTTCCCTTAAGGTGCCCACACACATTACTATCTGATTGAGCAATCTCCTTTATATCCAACATCAGCAATATAGTGCAAGAGCCTGTCTGATTTGATACAAATTGAATAGATTGTTCAGGTGGGTCCTCCTATTCCTTAGTTTTGGTAAATTGTACAGAAATTGTACAATTACTGTATTTTTCGCTCCATAAGACGCACTTCTTCCCCGCCCCAAAAAAGGGGGGAAAATGTCAGTGCGTCTTATGGAGCGAATATAAAGCGGCCGGTCCGATACTTCCGGCGCCACCATGTCAGAATACCGGGCCGGCCGTTCAGCTGTTCTCTGATGCAGGACCTTACCTGTTCCTCAGTCCAGCGCTGCGCAGTCTTCCCACGCCAGCTTCTTCCCACGCCGGCATCTGTGACAGCCTGGTGCCCACTGAGCATCCGCAAGATGCGCTGCGCTTTGTGAATGGTCCGGCATCTTCTGGGACACATGACAAGTCCCAGAAGATGCCGGGCCATTCACAAAGTGCAGTGCTTCTCGAGCATGCACAGTGGGCACCCGGCTATCAAAGCCGGGTGCCCACAGTAAAGGGAGGACAACTCCGCGGAAGTGGGAGCGGGTACCTGTCAAATTCAGGTGCCCACTCCCCCTCCCTCCCTAAAGGTCTGCAGTCCCTGGGTCATCCCCTGTACTGTCTGCAGTCTCTGGGTCATCCCCTGTACTGTCTGCAGTCTCTGGGTCATCCCCTGTACTGTCTGCAGTCTCTGGTCATCCCCTATACTGTCTGCAGTCTCTGGGTCATCCCCTATACTGTCTGCAGTCTCTGGTCATCCCCTGTACTGTCTGCAGTCTCTGCAGGTCATCCCCTATACTGTCTGCAGTCTCTGGGTCATCCCCTATACTGTCTGCAGTCTCTGGTCATCCCCTGTACTGTCTGCAGTCTCTGGGTCATCCCCTGACTGTCTGCAGTCTCTGGGTCATCCCTGTACTGTCTGCAGTCTCTGGGTCATCCCCTGTACTGTCTGCAGTCTCTGGGTCATCCCCTGTACTGTCCTGCAGTCTCTGGGTCATCCCCTGTACTGTCTGCAGTCTCTGGGTCATCCCCTGTACTGTCTGCAGTCTCTGGGTCATCCCCTGTACTGTCTGCAGTCTCTGGGTCATCCCCTGTACTGTCTGCAGTCTCTGGGTCATCCCCTGTACTGTCTGCAGTCTCTGGGTCATCCCTGTACTGTCTGCAGTCTCTGGGTCATCCCCTGTACTGTCTGCAGTCTCTGGGTCATCCCCTGTACTGTCTGCAGTCTCTGGGTCATCCCCTGTACTGTCTGCAGTCTCTGGGTCATCCCCTGTACTGTCTGCAGTCTCTGGGTCATCCCCTGTACTGTCTGCAGTCTCTGGGTCATCCCCTGTACTGTCTGCAGTCTCTGGGTCATCCCCTGTACTGTCTGCAGTCTCTGGGTCATCCCCTGTACTGTCTGCAGTCTCTGGGTCATCCCTGTACTGTCTGCAGTCTCTGGGTCATCCCCTGTACTGTCTGCAGTCTCTGGGTCATCCCCTGTACTGTCTGCAGTCTCTGGGTCATCCCCTGTACTGTCTGCAGTCTCTGGGTCATCCCCTGTACTGTCTGCAGTCTCTGGGTCATCCCCTGTACTGTCTGCAGTCTCTGGGTCATCCCCTGTACTGTCTGCAGTCTCTGGGTCATCCCCTGTACTGTCTGCAGTCTCTGGGTCATCCCCTATACTGTCTGCAGTCTCTGGGTCATCCCCTATACTGTCTGCAGTCTCTGGGTCATCCCCTATACTGTCTGCAGTCTCTGGGTCATCCCCTATACTGTCTGCAGTCTCTGGGTCATCCCCTATACTGTCTGCAGTCTCTGGGTCATCCCCTATACTGTCTGCAGTCTCTGGGTCATCCCCTATACTGTCTGCAGTCTCTGGTCATCCCCTGTACTGTCCTGCAGTCTCTGGTCATCTCCTGTACTGTCTGCAGTCTCTGGTCATCTCCTGTACTGTGTCCGCAGCCTCTGGTCATCCCCTGTACTATGTCCACATTCTCTGGTCATTCCCTGTTCTGTGTCCGCAGTCTCTGGTCATCTCTTGTACCGTGTCCGCAGTTTCTGGTCATCTCTTGTACCGTGTCCGCAGTTTCTGGTCATCTCCTGTACCGTGTCCGCAGTCTCTGGCCATCTCCTGTACTGTGTCCGCAGTCTCTGGTCATCTCCTGTACTGTGTCCGCAGTCTCTGGTCATCTCCTGTATTGTGTCCGCAGTCTCTCTGGTCATCTCATGTACTGTGTCCGCAGTCTCTGGTCATCTCCTGTATTGTGTCCGCAGTCTCTGGTCATCTCATGTACTGTGTCCGCAGTCTCTGGTCATCTCCTGTACTGTGTCCGCAGTCTCTGGTCATCTCCTGTACTGTGTCCGCAGTCTCTGGTCATCTCCTGTATTGTGTCCGCAGTCTCTGGCCATCTCATGTACTGTGTCCGCAGTGTCTGGTCATCTCCTGTACTGTGTCCGCAGTCTCTGGTCATCTCCTGTACTGTGTCCGCAGTCTCTGGTCATCTCTGTACTGTGTCCGCAGTCTCTGGTCATCTCCTGTACTGTGTCCGCAGTCTCTGGTCATCTCCTGTACTGTGTCCGCAGTCTCTGGTAATCTCCTGTACTGTGTCCGCAGTCTCTGGTAATCTCCTGTACTGTGTCCGCAGTCTCTGGTAATCTCCTGTACTGTGTCCGCAGTCTCTGGTCATCTCCTGTACCATGTCCGCAGTCTCTGGTCATCTCCTGTCCATGTCCGCAGTCTCTGGTCATTTCCTGTACTATGTCTGCCGTCCATTGGTTCAGAATATTTTTTTTCTTGTTTTTCTCCTCTAAAATCTAGGCGCGTCTTATGGAGCGAAAAATACGGTAGATTGCATAATGTATGGCCATCTATATACAAGTACATAGGGGTACAGAGTGGGCAGAGACACTAAGCTGTCAGGCCCTGTTCACATCTCCACACAGTGGGAACTCCTGTACCCAGACATGGTTTTTTTTGGGCATTTGCATGGGCTGCCCTGTGTTTTTTTGCATGGCAATGCAGACACACGCCTGCTACCTGCCCTTAGGGTGCCATTAACTTTTAATTGCACTGCAAGTGTAATGCACATTTCCAAACCATGTGGCAAAGCGAGTGTTTTCTGTGCAGTTTGCCATGCACTCAGAGATGCACAGATGTGAATGGAATCTAACTGTTCTTGTGTAAACACACCAATTTCACTTTCAGGCCCCATTCATACCTAGCGTAGTGAGAGTGCATGTTTTTGGCTGATCTTTCCAGCAACATGCATAGTGAAGCCCATTTATTACAATGGCCTGCCCTACAAGTGGCAAAGTAGCTGATGGGACACTTTGGCGTGATGCGGTTTGCACATTTTGTTTTTTACTGTGTTTTGCTGTGTTTGTCGATCATTTTTTTCACATGGCAAAATGTGTGTTTATTTCTGTGTTTGGGGTGCCATTAACAATTAATGGAACCGAAACCACAACTAGTTCATTTTAGGTGTACAAAAGGTGACTATACAATCTGATTGTACAATCTCCTTTAGATTTACCAAAACTATATAATAAGAGGACATTCCAGTCTGTCCAATCACTCTTTATCCAATCAGGCAGGCTCTTGTACTACATAGTCAATGGTAGATCTAAAGAAGATTGTATAGTGTATGGTGAGCTTTACAGACTTCCACGGACACACTTCTCCTGTTTTCAATACCACAGCTCTGCTGCACATAGGCTGCTTGTGACTGCTCACCTCCTCCACACTCTGCCAAAAGAATGATCTGTGCAAGATGTTTTAATGAGGTCTGGTGAAGTATTTCCTTCTACTGGTTTTTAGGTCCTAAATACCACATTCCAAGATGGAGCAGGAGTAATGCAGGAGTTTACTATAGGAGGCTGGGGTAAGACCTTGTTCTAAAAGACAGAGAAAGCTTTTTCACTTCTACTACAGAGGCACAATAATGGTATATTGGTACATAGGGGAGTTGGAATTTAGAAAAAAGTGAACTTAGTCTTTAAATGTGGGCTTTACACATGTATATGTGAAGTAAATGCTCAGTCAGCCCTTTAACAGTGGACAATCTGCAAGTTCACCAAACATTTCAGTTGATGGTAGATACCCTAGAGTTAAAGCCACCTGTTTCTTACATCTCTCAGGGATTCAGGGGATGTATCAGTTTCCAGGTTTACGCACCTGGCACAGCAATAATGGGATGTTCCTCTCATATGATTGCATTCTTAGTTTACTTAATGCAATGGAGAATGTCTTTGGCAGAGTAGCATAAACAAAAGACATGGGTTTGAAGCTGGGTGGAAATCTAGTCAGGAAGTACTACCTCCAAAAAAAGTACTTCCAGTAGTACTAAAAAAGTTGTTTTTAACAGATGTCATTCCCATTTTTCGATTACAGCCTTAAAGATTACAATAGTGAGGATATCTTCACACTGCAATTACCGATGTTGGAATCCTTTAAAAGACACAAAAGCATTGATGCGAAAACTTTAAGAACTTTATTCACTAAAGGCTGTTGGAAGCCTTATATACTCCTGGCCCAGCTATATTCTGCAGCATCATGATGACTGGATGTCAAAAAGTAAACTCCAACACCCACACAGCTTTCAAATTTTGTAGAGCCAGCAAAACCCCATTCTTTGCCCAGTGCATCTGGCTACATCAGCGTGCCTCCCAGTTTTTCCAGGTCTGGGAAAAAATTGTGGAACAGGAATTAAAAACCTAAACATGACAGATCCAAGGTAGCCTGATGCAAATGGGTGCAAGTCAATTTTCAATCAGCCACCCAAGAGTCAAACACAGATCCAGAAAGGTCTGCTGTCAAAATGCAGAAAAAAAAAAAATGGGCACGGATGTCATGTTTTGCTCCGATTCAGTAAGGCATCTGTTCATGGATCCCCTGCTGAACAGGTCCCCCAGACATGGCCCATATCAAAGGATCATAAATAAAGTACTATATATAAACTACAAATTTTTATGTAAAACATTCACAGATCTGCTAGAAAAATAATAGAGGCTTATTAGAACTATATTTACAATACTAAGTTAGAAGTAAAAATGTGAATAAGGCCAGAGATGCGGAGGACAGTTTGGATGCTGAATTCCTGTGTAGTAACTTATGTACAATGCAATCACATCCTTCATAAATGTTATTATAGTTTGGAGATACTACATGCTGTCTACAAAATAACATACAGTGGGAAAAATAATTATTTGATCCCCTGCAGATTGTGTAAGTTTGCCCACTTACAAAGAAATGAAGGGTCTATCATTTTTATCATAGGTATATTTTAAATGACAGAGACAGAATATCAACCAAGAATCCAGAAAAAACACAATACAAAAGTTAGAAATTGAGTGGCAGTTCAATGAGTAAAATAAGTATTTGATCCCCAAGCAAAACATGGCTTAGTACTTGGTGGAGAAACCCTTGCTGGCAAGCACAGAGGAAAGACGTTTCTTGTAGTTGGTTACCAGGTTTGCATACATTTGAGCCACTCCTTTGTTGCCTTGGTGGTATGTTTTGGGTTATTGTCATGCTGAAAGATTCTTATCCATGACCCATCATCAGTGTTCTGGCTGAGAAAACAAGGTTCTCATCCAAGATTTTACAATACATGGCCCTGTCCATTGGCCCTCAACATGGCAAAGTCAGCCTGTACCCTTAGTAGAGAAACAGCCCCAAAGCATATTGTTTTCACCTCCATGCTTGACTGTATGGATGGTGTTCTTAGGGTCATAGTCAGCCTTTTTATTCCTTCAAACATGGCAAATCGAGTTAATGCCAAAGAGAGCTCAATTTTGGTTTCATCGGCCCAAACAATGGCGCCCGCTGCTGTCTCAGCCAAAGAGGAGAGGGAGTCCCAGGATAGCCGAGACGCCACTGCACATTGCTAGATTACATAGAATGCATGAAGGTAAAAAAACCCTTAAGAGCCAATTCACACATGTGCGGTACGGATTGATGCTCAGGTTTCACAGCTAATTGACACAGTAGTTGTCCACAGGTTCACGTCAGGTTCAGGACAGGATTAGCTCAGGATCTTATCTTGTTCACACATATGCGGTTTAGAAACCGTTCCCATAGAAGTCAATAGCCTGTAATCTGCACATGAACTGGACCACACTGCTCAGAAAATGTACAGGACTCTTTTTAAAATAGCACTGAATCTGCACTGCCAGACATATGTAAACAGGCCCCATAGGAAGCAATGTTTTTTTTTTTCACATGTAATGCGGATTGGATATGGTTCAAACCAAAACAATGAACCAGTAACATTTCAAAGAATCAACTAAACAGCATATGGCAAAAAAATTGATTTTTGACTTACCAATAAAATCATTTTTCTGAAGTACAAACAGGACACAGGCTTCTTCAAATCATTATTACTGGGTTATACTAGGTGTCTGGACACTAGCAAAAAAAACAAACAAAAACCTGCAGTGCCATCCCACTCTAAGCTAGCTAGTTTTGAAGCAAGCAACATGGATATCATAAGAACATAGGGGAGGGAGCGGTGTCCTGTAATGTAACAGATTTTACTTGCAAATAAACAAAAAGTAATTTTTACTTGTAAACTCTACAATGTGGTATACAGTACAGGATGTAAGCGGAGTCCTCACAGACCCTGGGTTGTCAGTGATATAGGCTGCAAAGTCCTCAGACAACCAGGAAGTGGAGGGAGGTGGCAGAGAATGGAGTATAGAATTGACAGTATTTTAAAGATTCATTGGGATGTTGAACTGTGTGTGTATGTGTAAATAATATATATATATATATATATATATATATATATATATATATAAAGAGAAGCATACTGTAATTGCTTAAAAGACCAGAAAACATGCCTTAGCTCCTGTCTAACATGTCCATGTATATGACGAAGTCCCCTTTGTCTTCCATTTAGTCACAAACAAAAACTTGTGCTTGAACTTGCATCATTCTAAATTGGATCTCACTCTGGGTATCACTATTGATTTTCAGTGCACGGATGATGTGCTCTCACACCATGCATCTATCCCAATGGATCCTTAAAAATTTACTTTTATTATATTAACTTATAAAAATAGTTTAACTAAAACAGAAAGTAGTTCCTGTGTGCTAGAGCAGCACTTATCTACAATGTAAAAAACAAACAAAACACAACATGTTTCATCTAAAAGGCTTCTTTAGTGGTGTAAGAGTGACAGGGTGCAAAACGTGTGTGCTATATCCAGTGCAACTCAGCTAATATTCATGGGAGGTAAATATATCAATTCGTTCACTTTTCTTCTTAAAAAGGAAACCGTTTCCCCTGCAGATTCGCCAACCAAGGAAACAAATTTCCCATTACACTTGGTATTTATACATCTATAGCATACAGGCAGTTAATCAAACAGATATTTTCCATTAGTCTATATCCTCACCTCAGACATTAGCCATTGCTTTTGTTTCATTCCAATGTCAAGGTGTTGTGTTTCATCCAGTATTTCTTCTAATGTTAGTGGGTACGTGTCACCTCGCTGGTGTCGGGTCTGCAGAGATAAACTGACATGTTAATTTTCACATACCGAATTCCACATCCTCACTTATGTACATAAACAATAGTAAGGCTCGGGTAATTGAAAGCAGTTAGGAACAAATAATTTGGAAGATCTAAACATTTTTTTTTTTTTTTTTTTTTGTCAGATGGCATTAAAGTAGAAGTCCAGCCAAATACTACCGAAGCTTAAACCTGCTCCCCACCCCCATTCTAAGCCCTATATTAAACTAACCTGTAAAAGAAAGATGTCTATCCTTACCTATTCTGAAGACGTTCTTGTCCAGTCCCATAATCAGCTGTCAGCAGCAACGCCAATATAGAGGAGGAACAGCTGGCAAAGGATGCCCAATAGTAAGTCTATGGATGAGATCACCACTCAGGCTCTGCAGCAGTTGTCGGTGATCTCTCCTGTTCACTGAAGCCAGCCAGTAGGGTGATCATGTGACCAGACTGGAGCGCCTTCAGAATAGGAATTTATAGACATCCTTCCTTTGCAGGGTAGTAAGTATAGGGCTTAGAAATGAGGGCGGGAAACAGGTTTAAGCCTAGATAGCATTTGACTGGACTTCCACTTTAAGGGCACCATTGTTATAATCAGTAGAATTGACTTCAGGTTGCAGTATTAGGAGACTCTCAGTGAATTTCTAATAGCGGATAGGACTAAATTAGACTGGCATTGATGTTCCTCGTGATTTAATTTGGGTAGATAATTGGAAAATAAGTAAAAGTAGTAGTAGAGTAGGACACTGTACCTCTTCCATACTGTTTTGTGTGTATCCATTACATACTGAAATGGGCACAGAGGAGTCCGTGATAATCAGTAAATGTTTAATACAGGATTATACTATTTTATTTATATAATCACACAACATATGGGCACCAGATGTCAATGTACAGAAGATAAGCAGTCAAGTTCTTGCAATACAATCGCAATCAATATTTTGCATATGTGTCAACAGCAGCTTCAATGGCATGTTGTGAAAGCTGGGTTTAATGTGTTATGGAATTGCTGCAGTTGCCTCCCATTCCCCCCCCCCCCCCAAAAAAAGTTGAACATTATAGTCTCTGCCAAGCTAGGATTTTACATGTTACAAGCACCATAAAGCAACTGCAATTTCCTCTTTACTATTGTATTATGTGTTCTCATACAGTGCCTTGAAAAAGTATTCATACCCCATGAAATCTTCCACATTTTGTCATGTTACAACCATAAACGTAAATTTTATTGGGATTTTATGGGATAGACCAACACAAAGTGGCACATAATTGTGAAGTGGAAGGAAAATGATAAATGGCTTTTCAACATTTTTTACAAATAAATATGTGAAAATTGTGGCATGTATTTGTATTCAGCCCCCCCGAGTCAATACTTTGTAGAATCACCTTTCGCTGCAATTACAGCTGCAAGTCTTTTTGGGGATGTCTCTACCAGCTTTGCACATCTAGAGAGTGACATTTTTGCCCATTCTTTTTTGCAAAATAGCTCAAGCTCTGTCAGATTGGATGGAGAGCGTCTGTGAACAGTAATTTTCAAGTCTTCCTATTCTAACACATGAATATGATTTGAACTAAACCATTCCCATGTAGCTCTGGCTGTATGTTTAGGGTCATTGTTCTGCTGGAAGGTGAACCTCTGCCCCAGTCTCAAGTCTTTTGCAGACTAACAGGTTTTCCTCTAGGACTGCCCTGTATTTGGCTCCATCCATCTTCCCATCAATTCTGACCAGCTTCCCTGTCGCTGCTGAAGAAAAGCTTCCCCACAACATGATGCTGCCACCACCATTTTCACAGTGAGGATGGTGTGTTCTTGGTGGTGTGCAGGGTTAGTTTAGCGCCACACATAGCATTTTGCGTTTAGGCTAAAAAGTTAAAATTTTGATCTCATGTGACCAGAGCACCTTCTTCCACATGTTTGCTGTGTCCCCCACATGGCTTCTCGTAAACTGCAAACAGGTCTTCTTACGGTTTTCTTTCAACAATGGCTTTACTTTTCCATAAAGGCCAGATTTATGGAATGCACGACTAAGATGTCCTGTGGACAGATTCTCCCACCTGCGCTGTGGATCTCTGTAGCTCCTCCAGAGTTACCATCGGCCTTTTGGCTGCTTCTCTGAGTAATGCTCTCTTTGCCCGGCCTGTCAGTTTAGGTGGACAGCCTTGTCTTGGTAGGTTTGCAGTTGTGCCATACTCTTTCCATTTTCGGATGATGGATTGAACAGTGCTGTCAGATGTTCAAAGCTTGGGATATTTTTTTATAACCTAACTCTTCTATAAACTTCTCTACAACTTTATCCCTGACCTTTTTTGTGTTCCTTGGCCTTCATGATAGTGTTTATTCACTAATGTTTTCCAACGAACCTTTGAGGGCTTCACAGAACAGCTGTATTATACGGAGATTAAATTTCACACAGGTGGACTCTATTTACTAATTAGGTGACTTCTGAAGGCAATTGGTTCCACTAGATTTTAGTTAGTTTGGGTTTCAGAGTAAAGGGGGCTGAATATAAATGAACGCCACACTTTTCAAATATTTATTTGTAAAAAAAAAAAAATGTTAAAATCATTTATAATTTTCCTTCCGCTTCACAATTAAGTGCTACTTTGTGTTGGTCTATCACATAAAATCCCAATAAAATACATTTACGTTTTTGGTTGTAACATGAAAAAAATTTGGAAAATTTCAAGGGGTATGAATACTTTTTTCAAGGCACTGTATGTGCAACAAACACCACAAACACAATTGCCACATTAAAACACTAAGTAAGTGAATGATTATGTATACCCTGTACACTATATTCTGGGGGGTAGCAAATAAAAAGAGGCACATCTTCAAAGGAATGAGATGATGCATCCTGGGGAATAAAAGGATGTCTGTGTTCTGTAATGGTAGGAGAATATAAACGCTATAGCTGCCAAAAGGTTTTTGAAGGTACTTGTTTTCAAGCTGTTACCATAATCCTTATATTACCAGTTGCTGACCTGGACCTGAATGCTACCAGTGTAGCCCTGTGAAAGCTGATGTGGTCATATATTCAGGGTCTTATCAGACAGTGACCACCAAGACATCCCTGGAATAGTCACCTAATAAATCTCATTCTCTTAATCCAGAATGTACCTTTTAAACACTGCCACTGCACCTACAGATTCTACAAAGTATAATAAGCAATGGCAACCAATCTCAATTCACTTTACTTACTGTATGTCAGTGCAATAAAAAATATTATTGGTTGATATAGGTGCTCAAATTACCACTTATCGCATAGCACCTTAAACAGTCCAGTACAGCTCTTTATTTACTAAAAACCAGGAACTCTGAAGCCTGCCTTAATGTTGCATGTACATAGGCAGGGGACAGAAAAAAAAAAAAAAGACACAGAAAGTTATCACTAGAAAAGGCAACTAGCAAGAAGAAGCAATGGACTTAAGAAAATATATAGCTACTGACAAATCAGAGAAAAGAAATGTCTGTTAATTCACACAAACCAAACAGACTCAAGTTATCCTTTATTTCTAAATTGGATTATAAGGGCGAATAAACATCAGATTGACTACCTTGTCATATACAAGTGGAACAAAGAGGTGTCAATCAGCCCCAAAGATTGCTCTGGTTTTCCAGTCATAGCCAACAGAATCAAGAGACACAAAATAAAAATCAGTTGTAAGACGATGTCACTGACTAGTCTACTCTATCAGTATAATGTGGTGATTCAGTCTACTGTTGTCAATTAAGGAGGAATGTCTCCTGGGTTCTCTCCTATAACAGAATGGGTGAAAGAAGTTAGTAATATAATAAGCGATACGAGGTAACATGGTGTCAGCATTTGGCAGGCTTGCAGGGATTACTTCCACATGTTCAGATTACTTGGTTGAACGAGTAACTAAAATGAGGTAATCACATTATTAGGTAATGCTTAAATGGCCCTTGAGACTATGGAAATGGTGCTTATTATATCTACATAAAGAACTGTATATTTTATTCCCCATGACCGTTAAACTGCTGTGCAACAGAAGATCAAGCAAGGGTGTCTCTTGACAGCCAGTGACCACATAATAATAATAAAAGTCATATTGCATTCAATATAGTGAGGTATATATTTTTGCATATACTTTAAAGGGGCAAGATGCCTCTGAAAAGTTAAAGTATAACTCTGGCAACAAAATTAGTGCTTCGTTGGAGGTTTGGCCTTTACTAAAATCAAAGTCTGAGTGTTCTAATACATTGTACCTGGCAACTCTTTAGACCTAAAACACTGTGCAAGAACCTTACCAAACAGAAAATGCAATAGGCTGCATGTATTGGACCTCGAGGTTAGGGAAAAGCAATGAGCCAATTACAAAGCAGAAAAATAACCTCAGATAAAGTGGGCTGTTTCCATGATTGCAAGTAAAAGAATCTGAAAATGGTATATATTCATTAACTTCAGCATGCTCTTTGGCACGATCATCTTGTTGGGCACACAGGATACAAATAGTAAACAAAGGGGTAGATTTACTAAAGGCAAATAGACTGTGCACTTTGCAAAGTGCTGTTGCTCCAGAGTTTAGTAAATGAGGTAAAGCTTCCCTTTACAACAAATACCCAATCACATGCAAGGAACAAAACAATAAAAGAAAAAAATGTTTTGCTTGCACATGATTGGATGATGGGAGTCAGCAGAGCCCCTGCTCATTTAGTAAGCTCTGGAGCAACTGATCTTGCAGAATGCAACTGTACTTTGCAAACTGCACAGTCTATTTGCCTTTAGTAAATCAACCTCTATATGTTTAATATGTTTCAATAGCACAAATGTGTGCATCACTGCAGTTTCAATTCCTGAAGTGCTGGATAATATCAAAGGTATGTAACGTTGTTAGGTCAGGAAAAGGTGGGACCAATAGGTAAGTTGTTGACACAAAAAAGGAATTTGGACAAGCTTGGTATGAGAAGAACTATACAGATGAATTTGCTATATTAGTGTGAGACATACCAGGTATGGTGCTCTCCCTCACTAA